CCTTCCAACAGGGGTCTATTACAATTTGCAAAATTGCAGGCTTCTTAAGTTAAACTCTATTCTATACTTCTTCTTAAGTTAAACTCTATTCTATACTTCTTCTTAAGTTAAACTCTATTCTATACTTCTTCTTAAGTTAAACTCTATTCTATACTTCTTCTTAAGTTAAACTCTATTCTATACTTCTTCTTAAGTTAAACTCTATTCTATACTTCTTCTTAAGTTAAACTCTATTCTATACTTCTTCTTAAGTTAAACTCTATTCTATACTTCTTCTTAAGTTAAACTCTATTCTATACTTCCTTCAACATTCTATAATTGGTATAATATTTTTCCTTTCTTTTTTTAACAAAAAAATTAACATCATCCAAGGATATTCAATTATGGCTAGACCTCTACTGTCCATTTTATCTAACAGTAAGATGAAAATGAAAGGATTAAGAATGCTTTGACAGTTTAAAACTCAGTTTTGAGATCTACATAAATATAATCTTTAAATTTCATAATTCAGAAAAGAGATCAGATCTTTGATATATTCAAATATATCAAGTGTCAAACCATAACTTTAAGAATTAAGAAACAAAACAAAGTAGCTACCTTGGGAAAAAAATTGCATGTTGCTGTATGTAAAGTTGAGTTCTTTCTCCTTCATAAACACCAAAAAAGAGTAAGCAAATTTTAGTTTCACATCTTCATTGTTGATGATGTTTATATTTAAATGTTGCTTCCAAGAAAAAACAGGTAATACATTTGTTGGATCTGTATTCAGCCTGCAAAATGTTGAGGGAAAAAAGTTCAATTTGGTAGATTTAAAAGCCCAATCATTTATTAACAGAGCAAAATCATTTATTAGAGTAGACATGCACAAAGGTCCATATCATATCTTTCCTTGTGAAAGGAAGGTTGATATTTGATAATGACGAACACAGTCCCTAAATGTACATGAGAAAGGAAGGAATAAAAAAAGAAAAGAAGATCAAGGAATTTAATTGAGAAGGTTCAATGAGAGAAAGAGAGGAGAAATTAGGTTCGACATGAGTAAATGAAACAACACGTGTCTTCACCGCTACAAACATACAATAGATATTTCTGAAAGGGCATTAGTATACAGGACTTTTCAGATTTCCTCCATACAAAGCTATAGGCTTTTAATAGAAGAATAGTTGAACTAAAGTAATAAATAAAAAAAATTGTAAATAAACCAAGGATTTTACTCCCTCAATGGTAGATGCTTGAACATTTTAAATAAACAAATTATTTTACCGTCTGACCCTTGACTTTATAAACTCTATTATCAATGATAACGCAGACATAATATCTTTGTCAATAGACAACAAAACAGATGAAAAAAAAAAGAAAAATCTCTGAACAGTGAAAAAGGAAACGATCAAGTTAGAAGATAAACTTACTGATGAAGGAAAGATAAAGGCATAAGAAAAACAGGATCTAACCTCTATTGCTCAAATCCTGTCCATTTCACCTTTAAACACAACTTTAGTAGAATAATCTTTGAGCATTTTAGAAAATCAGTTGATGTCTCAATAATCATATCTAGCTAGCCTCTTCATTTTACTATGATAAAATATGAGAAACAAATTTTAAGCTCAAAGACAAAATCTAATGCTAAGAGCTCCTAAATTTAAGTGCAAATAGTGAACATCTTAGAAAAGATAACTATTAGTGAAGTAAGTAAAAACTTACTGCATTTAAAAGTATGTATTGACAATACAACCAACTCTTGAAATGATTACTATTTCTATTTATCAATCAACAACGTATCTAGTACATCGGAAACATTGGAGATCAATGAAATTTCTGTATTAGCCTTTAAGTTTAATATCATAAGTGCAATTGTTCAAAAAAAAAAAAAAGAACCGCCATTCACCCAAAAACTAAGAAGGACATAAGAACTGTAGTCATAGAGAAAGGAGAACAAAAGAGGAGGCATAAACTGACGACAACTCATCCAAACCATCCCACAATGAGCCAATGTAATGGAGTTGGCGAGGATTACCTTAGAAGAGGAGAAAAATGTGTACGTACTCGCAACCCAATGCCATTTGTTGGTCGTCAAAAGTCATTAATTCTGCAAAAATACAAGTAAAATCATCGAGATATAGTAACGGGATCCAAGTTTTCAACAATCAATAGAACGGAGCTCAGCGTCGCAGTTGTGTTATACTGAGAACATATGAAAAGATTATAGAAATGAAGAAGTGGAGTCAGAAGACTAATTTTTCAAACAAATTTTGATCTTACTACTGTCAACAGAGAGAAGAGGAGAAAAATTAGTAAGCAAAAATTGATATCCTAATAAATAGAATAACATAATCATGTTAACGGGCAAATGTATATAGAACTGGACAACCAAGAATTAATAAATTCAAATATTAAAATTATATAAAGTCAAATGATCCTATAAAGGAATCCTTGACAATTATCAAAGTGAGAGCCTATAACATCAACCCCAATAAATTAGGGTAGGCTTCAGAATCTTACGGATCATGTTACTCCATTGAACATCCAATTCCCTAACTTATATAATCCACATGCACTGAAATTGTTCAATTGTATAATTTTGAACAATTTCAATCTTAAACCCCTAATTTCCATAAACTGTTGTGGGGTGGAATTTGTGTGCATATATTAATTTTTTGATTGCTTGGTAGTGATATTGGAGGAGAATTTCGCTCTAAACCCAATTTTCAAACTTTGAATATAAATTTCAAACTCCTACACAAAAATATAAAGTGAAAGCATAAGGACATAAATAAACAAACAAAAGAAAGAGTGGCAACATAAGACACCATCAATAAAAAAATTATACACTTAAAAGAGTGCAGAACATAGAAACGGCATATAGCACTATATATGGACCCGAGATCCGACACTGAAGTTTAGAAGCTATAAAAGCAGTAAAGCACAAAGAGAAGGAACCTACTCATAGTATAAAGCTCACCGGGCAAATTAACAATGGAGGAACTTGCATTAACAACGTTGGGTTTTCTGCTCTTGTGTTTTTGTGTTGAAGCATAGTACAGGAAGTACAAGGACCCAAAACAACCCTTGAATATTAGAATCAGGGACTTGATGAATATAATAAGCCTTAAAGAGATAATAGGTCATATTAGCCAGATTGAGAAACATGTAGATTTAGCTTAAATCATGAAGAAATATTTCGGCAAGGCATCCCAAACAAACAAAAATCTTGAGGAAACCTTCACAGAGAGATTTAAAGTGTCTACACAAAGAGAAGACACTCAGCAACACATGGATTCGCCATTGAAGAGTTGAGATCTACAAAGAAGAGTTGAGAAAATAGACCAAGCTTAGCAGAGGAGGAGAGAGAAATCTATAGAGAATTGTGAGATGATAGTGCAAAACTTGTACAGAAAGTGAAGCAAAATGAGACACGTGTTTATTCATCACTGGAAAAGGGCCAAATTTACTGTACAATTAGTACTACCTTTAGTACAATTAGAAGATGCAGTGTTCGTCCTTTTACTCCCATCCTCCTTTAGCCTTCTTTTGTATAAGTTAGATAATATTTCGTACAATTTGCTGAAGTCAGAGTCTAAATGATTATATGTATGTTGAAAATGTGAATACTGAACTGAAATGCTATAGATGAAAGAGTGATTTTACTTGATACAGATTTTTCAAATCCTCTCGCAATGTGATTCATCCCAACCTTATAACCCAAGAAGGAAGTCAACTTGCTGGGTTTGGTTCTATCATCCTTAGGCATCGGAAAAAAGAAAAAAAATAGATGACGGATAAGGGAAGACTTAAAATATTTACTAAAGAGTAAAAGGTGCAGAAGTTATGGAGAAGCTAAATCTCGAAACAAAAGAGTAGAAGGTTGCAAATGGTAAATTTTGCATTTATGCAGCTTCTGGTAACTATAAGATCTTGGAACATATTAGAGAACATACATATGTTAAAATGTGATAAATTCAAGAATGGAATCCTACTCTAGCTTATTGTCTTCGTTAATATTGTCTCGTATGAGTACAAAGAAACTTATGCTATCAAATAGTTTCTGGTCAATAGGTTAACCCTCGACATACGTGCTTAATGACCTTTATTGATTCATAATTGGAGAAAGAATGTGCAATTCACTCATGAATGTTCTCTTTGTATACGAATCCTTGGCAACAATTGTTTGGCATATGGAGGATGCAAGAAAGCTATCCTTATGATTCATTACTCTCTAATACTATCTCATGAATTAAATCTCATGAATTAAAACAGATTCATATAATGAAAGATCAATTCAGTCAAAATAATGTACACTTAATAAATCAATAACAGACACAAAGATAAACAATCATCAATCACTTAATCACTGGAAGGGTCTAATAAGGCCACAATTAAAAGATGGAAGTATTTCGTGAATCAAATTTGACAAATTTTACTCCAAAAGATAGATCTCATATCTTCCGTCAAAGTCGAAGCCTTAAAAGATTTTGAAAAAATCTCACCTTTGGAGCATGATCAAGATTCAGGTTCAAATCTAAAGTTCACACATATAGTTACATATCTTTTAACAACTACAAGTTCAAATTAATCCTGCAGTGTAGCACTTTAAGATATTATTAGGTGAAAAACAGAGCCCTATCCAAAAATAAAAAGATTTATACTATTTCATGATATCAAGTACCAAATATGAAAAAGGTATCAAGTGGCACACTTCTAAGTTAGTCTTGAAAGATTAAAAAACAAAGAAAAAAGGAACAAATTTCACCTAGTACCTTTGAATGTTGTTAGGAACCACGCAAGTACCAAACTTTGTCAACAATCTGCAAAATTTGCATAGCTGCAAGTGCAAACCTGCAAAGAGAATGGAAAATATGAAAAGAACTTGAAAAGGCAAAAGAATATCACAACACGCAAGAGGAAAAAGAAACAATTCTTGTTGTAGAGGTCGGCACAATTCTGACAGAAACTTGAAATTTGGTACTCAGTTTTCGAAAAATTTCTTGCGACTACAAGTGCGATTTGTTCAAAATTTTCAGAAAACTAAAGAGACGAAAAAAAGGAAAATGCGAACAACTCTTCGACGAAGCTTCTTGGAGACTAATTTGACGGAAGAAAAGAGAGAGAAGGATAAGGAAGAGAAGCCTCGAGAAATTTGGGGACTGTAAGTGAAAACCAGCTGTCTCCCACAAAGGTAAGATGCTATTACGTGTCTGTCAAAACGTGGAAAATTGGAGGGCATTGAACTAAAATACATACACGTGGCATTAAACTAAAAATAGGCCGAACTTTATTGTACAATTTATGCAACTTTTAGTACAACTGCATATAGCAGTGTTGGTACAGCCTCAAGTGCCACTTCTAATAAAGAGTAATATATATTATATATAATAATACTTTGGAGCTCGCTAGTGCCAAGACCTTTGCGTAACTTAAGGCCTAAGGTTCTCTTCCAATCCTTTTCGTGATATTAAAATACAACAAACAATACACTAAAAATTGGAGTCTAATTAGGCCAAACAATGTACTTTTTGTCTGTGTATACTTTCTTCCCACAGACCACTTGTTAATTAGCTTAGAAGGAAAAAAAGATTGAAAATGGCATTTTTGTTATTTATTGTGTTTGGTCCAAGACTCAATTATCTCAAAACTACTCGAGAGGCAATTTTGAAATCACATGTACAAATGTACTCACACGTTTCAAAATAAGTGATGTTTTAAAATTTTAAGAAGAAATTAATCTTATTCTTTTAAAATGATTCTTGTTTACGTAATCAAGAACCATTAATTAGCTTAAAAAGTATGTTTAAATTAAAAACATCATTTATTTTGAAACGAAATAAATATCAGTGGACAAATTAGTAGTCCACCAAGAACAGGCGTCTCACTTATGGGAGTAGGTATACAAGCAATGTACTACTTTAAATTCTGGTAAACATGAGTTAATATCTTCTTCTTCTTTTCTTACTTTTTTTATTTATTGATAAATTCTAATTTTTGTCTTTATGATAATATTTGACTAACCACACTATTTTATTTCTTTGTTTGTGAATGATTATAAAAAAATTAATTGGAAGAATATTTATGTGTTTGACCCCAAAAAATAATTAAACTCATACATGAGGGAGCATATTACAGACTTATAATTATAATGTGAATATATAAATAGATAAATAAACATGTCTCATCCTTTTAATGACATAAACATATGGATGAGTACTCATAGAAAAAGAAAAAAAACACTCCGTATGAGTAACATTTTGCAAAAAATAATCTCTTATGATCATTCTCAAATTCAACAAAAAAAAAATGATTTTTGTAGGTATTTTACATGTAAAATAAAAAAAATTATAATTTTTTTTAATAAAAAAACTGCAAAATCAAATTTCTTTAAAATTGTGACTTCTAGAATATTCCTTTAATATAAGCAAGTTAGAGGAATATGATTGATTGTGAAATGCCCGGTAGTCTCTATTTTATTTTGTGAAAAGGTCCAAAGAAGATTCTAGAAACTTTATAATTTATTTTATATTTTATTTCATTATCTATTGGTCGATAATGATTTTTATTGTTATTTTCATTCCCGAATATCACTTTTTCACTGATAATTTTCTACCGTAGAAAATTTAACTTGATTTAATAGAGGTATATTTAATTAATTTCAGTTGGTCAGAAGTATTTTTAGATATTTTTAATTGATCAAGAACATGTTTTTAAATTATATTAGTGCGATGATACTACTACTGTTGTTGTTGTTATTATTATTATATTTCTCTTTACTTAACCAATTGAACTTAAATACACTTCTAAATTCTCGCCAAGTCTAGGAGTGTTTTCAACAATTCTCTTTCGATTTTTTATTAAGAATCTCTTATAGGAGTTTGACACCACTTGCGCATGCTATGTCAATAGTAAACCAGGAGTGTATCTAAGTTTAATTAGTCAAGTAAATGAGTGTTTTTAATACTATCAATACTTTGGAAACAAAACTAATAATTTACACCATATTCAAGGTTGTTTTCAATACTTTCCTTTCTTTTTCTTTTTTTTTAAGAGAGTGAAATTTAAAATGGTAAAAAATACTACTAATAATAAAAAAGTTGACATGGTGACAACTAAATATTTATCAGCAGTAATTTAGGGCATCACGTATGAGAACAACATTTTTCATCCGACGTGTACGACTGCTACTGGCGCCATGACTGATGACTTGCATCGTTGCCACAGTGATAATAATCTGTTTCTACGCGGTATTTCAAGAATTCTTACGCGGTTTATGTGTATTGATTTTGGGTAAATCAAGTCACATCACTTATGTCACTTTCTAGGATGTTTCCTGTTTAGTATCTATGGAAAATCCCCCATTTCTCATTCAATAAAAGGGTTTTACACATCGCCCCTTTTATTCATTTTCTCTACTAAGAATCAGCCCTTTTGTCGATTCAGCTTACATCATCTAGTTTTGAGAAAAATTCAATCTTTTCTGTGTTAAAGTTTGGATCTTTGTAATGACTGTACCTCCGGTGGGCAATCAGGTGGAAGTTCCACCGTTGAATACTTTACCGATTGGATATCGTTTTCGGCCCACGGATGAGGAGCTTATCAATCATTATTTGTGCTTGAAGATCAATGGTTGTCATAACCAAGTGGATGTTATTCGTGAAATTGATATCTGCAAATTCGAGCCCTGGGATTTGCCTGGTTAGTTCCGTCAACATTTTCTTTTGCCCTCTTTTTAAATCCTTTTTTCCTTTTATGTGTGCTGCTGTGTTATTGGTCAGCGATTTCATGTCAAAATCGAATTTTGTGGGAAGGGAAACCAGTATTCACTGAACAATTAGAGAAGTGGTTTGAGTTATGATTCTTGTTGATAGATACACAATCCCTTAAAAGAAAAAAAACAATTACAAGGACAAAGGGGCAATTTGAATTGGCCAAGAAATTTGATTCCTAACTCATCTTTTCAAAAAAAAATTGTGGACTTTGGTGATTGTAAAACCTGATTAACAGCTTTCAGGCCCTTGATCATTTGTGCCTTACTTTTGATTGTGCACGGTAAGTGTAATCGTTTTCTTCGGGTTAGGAGAGTTGATTGCTTTGTGAATAATCAGTTCCATAAGCTCCAGTTACAATTTCGCAGACCGAGTAGCTAATCCTTTTTGACTCCAGATTATGAGCACTCCATCGGATCTCTTTTTCTTTGCTATTTAGGGAAAATGGGTGGGGTGGGGTAGGGGGAAGGGAGACAATTCTGTTGATGATCCTCACAGTTGAAATAATTGTGATTAGCTTTGCTTTTGGGTGCTTTTGACCTACTTTTAGTAGGAGCTTTTGAAATGAATGGATGAAGCTAGATAGTCTTGGTTTTTTGTCTACTGATTATCATTTTTGTAGCAATGTGCTTCCATATGGTATACTCGGCAATGTTTATCACCATATTATTTTGTCTTAAGAAGTTCAGGGTGCAGCTTTCACTGCACTGACACTTTTTTCTCCTTTGTCCTAGCTCAGAAGCTCCAACAACAACAAAGCCCCTTTGTATTTGTGACTTCGAAGTTCATATTTGAAAAGAATGTAACGGTATGAATTGTTTCAAATGATTGCAGATTTGTCTGTTGTAGAGTCAAATGACAATGAGTGGTTGTACTTCTGCCCGATAGACAGGAAGTACCAAAATGGGCAGCGATTGAACCGAGCAACAGAACGAGGATACTGGAAAGCTACTGGTAAAGATAGAAACATAGCTACTAGAAAGGGGGCAAAGATTGGGATGAAGAAGACTTTGGTATACTATATTGGGCGAGCTCCTGAAGGGAAGAGGACCAATTGGGTGATCCATGAATATCGTGCAACTGACAAGTCATTGGATGGTTCACACCCTGGACAGGTAGGGACTGAAATCTTTCTTCTCTCTTCAATTTGAACTTCTTTTCATGTATCTTAGTTTTGGGATGGTTTTAGTTAGAAAAAGATTGTTTGTTCCATATGTGAAATTATGGGATAATCTAATCTACTTGAAGGTATAGTGGTATATTTGGCTGTTTCTTATCTCAGAAAAATCATGTCTTTATTTATCAATAGTGTTTACTTAAATGGAGTGGCATATGACTGGTCAGTTTAATTGTAGTTAGTCCACTTATATTCTGTTAGGACAACAAGGGGTTGGGTGCAACATTTTGTGGTGTAGCCATGTAAAGCTTACTTTTTGGCGGGTCCAACATTTTATGAGATGTCTGAATCAACAACTGTGGATCAGATGCACCATTATTAGTTTAATCATTGAAGCTTACTGTTCCATTCCTAGTTTGTGATGTAGCAATTTGGGCAATATTAGATTATTAGTAATCATTTTCCTGGTGCAGGGAGCTTTTGTGCTTTGTCGTCTCTTTAAGAAGAATGAATTGAAGCAAGATGAAAATGTCGAAAGTTCACACTTTGATGAAGTTGAACAGCTTGTTTCTTCTCCTGCTGTTGGAAAATCACCAACCAATGATGGATTATCAGCAGTGGCTCTATCTCCAATCATGGAAAGTGAGAGTAACAGAAGTAACCCACCAAAAACCTCTGGAGGCAAAACTCATGACACAAGATTATCTATTAATAGTTGTGGCAATAGTTGCACTGCTGGTGATGCTGAAGATCTGATGTTGGACATAACATCAGGACAAGTAAGTAGAGCAATTCCCATTTCTGCCTTTTTCTTAAATATTGAGTTTTTCATTGCAGACAATTGGTTGAACTAATATTGTACTTATTTCTTTGCTTCATATTTTAGTCAGATCTCCAGATAGAGGAACTGTTGGGACTCTTTCGTGACCCTTCACCAGAGCCTATTGATTGGTCTCCGTTGCATTCACAGTCGCAGGTGGAGTTTGGATCTTCTATCTCACATGGTACCATGACCAATGAGATAAGCTCTGATCAAAAGGATGTCCAATGTCAGAATGGAATAAATGATCTCAATACTAGTGAGTTTTTAAATTCAATTCTTGTCAGCTCTGATGAGCTTTCCTATGAAGATTCTGAAGCGGAATTGAGGTCAATCTGGTTTGCCTCGAACAGTATTAACACTATAACAAGGGCACCAGTTAAGGACTCTGGAACGTGTAGTGTGTTGAAGTCACAAGTCACACAAGAGCCAGTAAGTGGAACTCTATAGGGGTCTTTCAGTTTCTTGCATTTGTGAGTTGTCTCAAAACGTCAGTTACTTGAAACTTTTTAACTGTTTTTTAGAGAACTGATCTTCTGCTGCTATTCTTTTTGTCCCAGGTTAGGAGAGATTTTTTTGAACCCGAGCTGCTGTTGGGAAATTATGGAGAGACTGCAGTAATGAGAGAGGTTAATTCTGTTGCAACCACAGTGGACGAGGCGTTTGCAACACCTTATGTTCGCAATGATCATTCAATGGCGAATCTGGATTTCCTTAACAATGGTTACCCTGGAGAGGTCATTTTGTCTGCTGGTTCTGGTGGAATGCAGGTCGACAGCTCACTAAACTTTGATGAATCAAACGGTTATAGCAATGTAGGCACTGATTCTGCTTTTGGAATAACACGAAGGACTCGGCAGGTGCAGAATCAACCTGACGACAGCCAGCTGGGATCTGGAATGCAAGGAACTACTGTTAGAAGAATACGTTACCAAGTGAAACTTCAAGCTGGAAGAGTAGAGTGTCGCATGCCGACTGATTCTGATCAGGGTGGAGCAGATCATGAAGGACTGTCAACTGTATCTGAGGTAAGTCTCCCTAATCCCTCATGAAAAAAAGGGCTAAAAGATGACACATTGACATATATTTAATAATTGGCATGTGCAGAGTGAAAAGTTCTTCAATGAAGAAGCTTCTACTCCGAGTGCTGCTATCTGCAGCGATGAGACACAAGATACCATGTGCAAAGAATTTAAAGGGGATTGTCAAATGGCTGAAGACTTGAGTGCAAATGTGAAAGATACAAATGGTTCAAAGAGAGCAGCATTGTCTTCGTTTTCATCAAGTTTCTACATATCCAAGGTGCTCGCGGTTGCAAGTTTACTCATGGTCTTCTTAGGTGTTTTGGGATGCTTTAAGCTGAGACAATCTGCATCCAAATTGTAGCTTTTTGTAACTGGCTTAACATGTTTTGTTGATTTTATCTCCTTTTCAAATACTGCAGAGGAGCTAAAGTTGAGAAAACTTAGAAGTTACTAGTGTATATTTTATATTACAATTGACTTGTTTTGTACATTACTAGTACTATATTGTGTAAGGAGATCTAGTTAATTTAGACTTTTTCCCAAAGATTTGCATTTGGCATTTTGACTTCACCTCCTTCATTATTCTACCTTCCCTCAATATATATGGACATCTCCTTGGTTCTAGTCAAGGAATTTAATAACGTCTGTCTGCTAGGTGAAGAAATTTCATATCATTATTAAGTGCATTTCCCCATATTATCAGATCTTCGTCATGCTTGTGCTCTTCATTTGCTAGAAAATCGTTACATTGATTCCCCCTCTCATTATATTTACTTTGGAAAGTCACATGACTTTGTCCTCTTATTACAAATGTTATAGCCAGTTACTGAATATTTATTTGTAGAAATTCTGATTTAATGTACTCCCTGTTGTAAATTGATAAACTATAAAATAATATAAAACATGAAATATAGAAAATAGTTGTAGAGTTTTTGTCATTCAAGTGTGTATTTGTGAAAGGTGAAGACTACCCATTTATATGATTGTACAAATCATCCTTGAGTTACATATCTCAAGTAATACATTATTAATTAGATACAAATATGATAAATGATCCATTGAATGAACATCCACAATTACTAAATTCATAACACTTCTCATGTAGTAGCTTTTTGTTATATAAAGAGTAACTTATAATGTCGGTCCATTTTAATTTACGTGTACGATTTGAAATTATTGTCATTTTAAAAAAATCAATATATAGATCAATTATTAATTTTTATTTTTATCCTTATTTAATAAATGTGGAAATAAATTATTTTGGTGAAGATATTACTCGTAGTACTATTAGATTGAGATTGTAACAAATAAAAATAATTTAATCAAATTACTTTTTTTAGTTAATATTTGTACTTCGTACGTTACCTCATTCTTTTTTACTATCTTGGAGTTTAGTTTCCTAAAGAATACGGAAAAAAATATGACAAGTAAAATAGATCATATTTTTCGCCATTGTTAGAATATATCCAATAAAAGTCGTCGGTTGTTTGTTCATTCTACTTGTGTAAAGAACGATTAGATGAACCATCAACTACCGCAAAATCACACAGAAAAACTGGCAAAATGTTCACATTTTCTCCAATTTTAGTACTCCTATTGCTTTTCTGCTTCAGCTTACTGTATTCAGTTCAAGGCAGCTACTTTGATCAAGAATTTGTTAAGCAGATACTGAGTTCAGCAAGTAAAGATAAAGATTGGTTAGTATCCATAAGAAGGAAAATTCATGAATACCCAGAACTCAGATTCGAAGAATATAATACCAGTGCTCTGATTCGTAGTGAACTTGATAAGCTTGGGGTTTATTATGAATACCCTTTTGCAAAAACTGGTATTGTTGCTCAAATTGGCAATGGTTCTCCCCCTGTTGTTGCTTTGCGAGCTGATATGGATGCCCTTCCTCTGCAGGTTTCTCCTAGTTACTTATGTACAAAAAGATTCTTTTTTTTCCTTATTTACATGGTATTCCCTTTGTTTCAGTTTGTTTGTCTGGTTTTGATTTGGGAATAAGTTAAAGAAAGTAACAAAACTTTTGAATTTACTAAAATATCATATAATCTTGTGATCTTGAAGATGTCATGTGAAAATTTAGAATTAAAGATCTCTACCTCCGCCCCGAGTTGGGCTGTATCAAATCTAGAGGATCCAATATTAGTTAGATTGTTTTTACACTGGTTGTCAGCTTGTCACAATCCTCCAACTTTATTTGGAGTTGTGACAGACTATGCTTTATGAAGATTATATGGGGGTAGTTATATACAGATAATTAGTACTGTGCATATTTAAGTGTGAAATGTCTCTGGTATTGATCTCAAATGAATATAACCGTAGGAACTTGTTGAATGGGAACATAAGAGCAAAATTAATGGCAAAATGCATGGATGTGGACATGATGCTCATACGACAATGCTTCTTGGTGCTGCTAAGCTGCTGAATGAACGGAAGGACAAACTTAATGTGAGTTCTTTTGATGTTTGGTTTAAAGGAACTTTACTCTTCACTAGTACTGATTCATTTGGAATGTAACTTGTGCTTGTGTGATTCTACAACACAAAAGATTCTTTGCACAATATTGACCAATGTCTTGTTCTCGAAAGTAATAATACTATCAGTTGTGCTTCAACTTCTCATCTATGCTTGCATTTAATTTTTTTAATTCATCTATGCTGGCATGATATGGTCCTTTAGAGCTTATTACAAAAGGAGGCATTTCTTTTATGGAGGGGATATTATGAGTACTTTGTTTAGGTAATGAAATAATAGACTGATAAGGATTTTTTTTTAAAAAAAATGGTAACTTACTTATAAGGAATTGACAAACAAGATATTTCATTATTTTCATAGTTAAACAAGAACTTCTTATTTGTTCATCTAAGACAGGTTGAAAGAAAGTGAATACTTCCATGTAAGATCTTGTCAGTCAATAGAACTTACAGCTTTTTGTGACATGAGAACTGAACTTTTTCAAGTGGTGAATAATGGTTGAGTTAACATCATGTGTTTCTTCATACTTTTCTTCTCTTCAAACTTCTAAAGGCCTCACAATTAGAGGGATAGTTTGACTCCATGAATTCTTCCTTTAAGCTCGTAGAGACCTTATCAAGGCCTAAAAGGAACTTAGAGAGTTTCTCCTTTTCAAAAATATCCTTGAATCTTCTGGCATCTCCTGGCATTCAGAATCAGGACTTTCAAAAGTAGCTAGTTGTTTCCAGAAACGGCTGAGAGCACAATAATGTTCGTAACTGACATATCACCTTGTGGGAGATCATGTGGAGCACTAGTCAAAAAAATTAAGTTGCATTTTTATTGTCTTAATATCATAATTTGTCTTCTTTGGAACAGTCTGAACTTCATAGGTCAGAAGAGGGAAGTTCCTTATTTAATTGTCGATGTTGCTAAGTAACAACGATATGACCATATTGTTCTTTGACTCTCAAAATCTGAATTTGGGTCATCCTTCCCTAGAGGACTAGTAGTGTACTAGGAAGGATGATCTCTAATTATTTTCGAAGGCCACTTACCATTTCTTGGATCTCTTTATGTATAACTACATATGCTTCATCTTGCATATATCCATCAGAACATTCTGTTTTGAACCACACTCTTTGATCACTTGTCAGTCTGTAATTGTCTGAATGATACTACTAGATTTTTCTTTTCAACTTCATAAGGATACATATGTCACATGTCACTCCAAAAGCACTGTTCAAATTCACCTAATCTGTTTGGTCCTTTGTGTGGCATCATACAATATCAGTCAATATCTCTTTTTGCTAAACTCAATATTATTGTAATTCTTTTGTAAACCACAAAGGGAACCGTCAGACTTGTTTTCCAACCTGCGGAGGAAGGAGGAGCTGGTGCAAATCATATGATAAAGGAAGGAGCTCTAGGTGATGCAGAAGTTATATTTGGTATGCATGTTGATTTTAAAAGACCTACAGGAGGCATTGGCACTAGTCCTGGACCCCTTTTAGCTGCCGTTTGCTTCTTTGAAGCAAGAGTAGAAGGAAAAGGTGGGCATGCTGCACAACCCCATGAAGCTGTGGATCCAATACTTGCTGCATCATTTGCAATTGTGGCATTGCAGCAGCTCATCTCAAGAGAAGTAGATCCCCTTCATAGTCAAGTACGCACCTTAATCTCAATTTTTGTCCATTGAGCATTCTCAAAGCGAGGCAAAAAAAACTTGTTAGCTCTTCGCCTCGCTTAATTGTGCTTCAGTGTCATCATTAAGGCTCTAAGACATACTTTTCCTTGCAAATGAAGGCCTCCTAAAGTGGCAACACTAAACAATTGATATTTCACTTTATCGTTATTTTTTTTCCAGTTTATTTGTCCATATATTTGTTAGTAATGTTTATTATTATTAGTTCTAGACTTAACATATATATTGTGGTCTTTTTTCGTTTGCGCCTTTTTTCGTTAAAGCCCATGCTTTTGTGCTTAAAGACCCAATGAACCTAAGAGCTTTATTGCACTTATGATAACACTGGTCCAATCCTTTGTCTTCTATTTTACTTGAAGATGTTTACCTCACAAGAAGTGTACATAATGGTATGTTTAATATTATATAAGAACATGTATTCCCTTTACGAACATTTTTTGTTTTTAACAACTCATTAGTTTTGAGGTGGAAGCTGTATGATGTTTGAGACCTCAAGCCTCGTTTGATAGTTAGTCTTACTGATATTGAAATACTCACTTCTGCCTGAAGGTTCTTTCTGTTACTTATGTCAGAGGTGGATCAGCATCAAATGTAATTCCATCATATGTTGAATTTGGGGGAACTCTGAGGAGTCTAACAACTGAAGGCTTGTCTCAACTTCAAAAGAGGGTGAAAGAGGTACTTTGTTGAAACTTGGCTCTTGTGAACTATCAACATCTACCAACTAGATTTTCTGGCTGTTTCCTTAACATGTAGTATGTGTTTCAAATTTAGTGATTTTTTTGTCGATGTTTAATAGCCTTAAACAGATGGCCTTCTTAGGCCATTGGAAAATGATGGGTTACATGTACCTATGTAATGAACTAACAAGATTAAGGATGACTTCTTGAACACGTATCAAAACCCTTTCTCCAGCTAAATGAATGACCAAACTAATGGCGTTCCTGCAGTTTCCTTCCACAAGTAGGGTATGGGGAGGGTGGAATGTACACAGACCTTACCCCTTCTTGTGTAGGTAGAGAGGTTTTTTTCGATGGTCCCTCGGCTCAAGGCCAGCATAAACACAACATATATGAAAATCACTATTGAATCCTTCATTTCTTGATATACTGTTGCAGTAGATTCTAATTGTCTTCAATGTCCAGTATCAACGAAAATGCTTCAAGTTCTTTCTAATAAGAACAGAACCTAGACTTCTCGTAGTAATTTGGTGCACATTTGAAATACATATTAATATGAGCCTGCAGGTAATTGAAGGACAGGCAGCTGTGCATAGGTGTAAGGCGTACGTTGACATGAAACAGGAGGATTTCCCAGCATATCCAGCTTGCACAAATGATGAGAACTTACATCAACATGTAGAGAGGGTTGGCAAACTCGTGCTTGGTTCGGAGAACGTTGGGGAAATTGAAAAGGTCATGGCAGGTGAGGACTTTGCCTTCTATCAACAAGTGATTCCTGGAGTCATCTTTCAAATAGGGATCAGAAATGAAAAGTTGGGCTCTACCCACGCCCCACATTCCCCTCACTTCTTTCTTGACGAGGATGTCCTTCCAATTGGAGCAGCAATGCACACAGCCATAGCAGAGATGTATCTGAACGATTACCAACATCCCACTGCAGTTTAGATAATAACATTATTGTTTGATGGTCTCTTGAGTTGCATAAATGTTCCAATTACTCGTTCATTCTGCACATTGTATATAATACAACATAAATAAGCAAATCTAACGCGGTGATGACCGTCTGTTCATGTGGCCCATTTCCATTTTCTTGATGCCATGGTTGCTCTTGTGCTCTTTAAAAATTTCTCTTATGCAACGAGGCATCAAGTAGTTAAGTATGTAGATCTAAATGCAGTTACAAAATGAATAGACAGTAGTCTGACACTGTATATGCAAAATCTAGTGCAAGTTACTGTTTTTTGTGGCAGAATTTAATATTTGTTCATATTTTATGGATTTCTTGATGCATAAAGTTACTAGGTTCGACAAAATCCCGTTGACTAAGGATTTTCTGTTGATATTCTCTCTTTTTTATTTTTGCCCCTAGGAGAGGGGGCAGGGGTTTGGAATGTAAAATTGAAAGAACCCATGTGAGACCAACTTTGAAGAATGAAGATCTTTACACTCAAATCATTAGCACTTTAGCATCCCCAAAGTTTCATACAACCCAATTTTGTTCAACTTACCAAGTTGTATTGCAACTTCTTTAATAACAATAATGTACAGGTCAACTTGCATACACTTCGATTAATTCCATCAGATAACTGCTACTACCTCTACTAACACAGATACCATAAAACTCTGTCCAACTATCACTTAGTGATTTTACCTCCAGTGAGATTTGAACTTAATTACTCATGGTTCTCGACCTACTTTATAAGATTATTCTCTGTGCTATTTATATTCTTTATGTCCATAAATTTAGGTATCCCCTGCTTTGTGGAATCCCCTTTATCCTTCCTCTCCCTCTGCCTCCTGAATATAGTTCCAACTAATATACAAAAAGGAGGAATCAAATAGGATTACTATTAAGAGGTACCCTTTATGCAGATAGTTCCCCTGCATGTGCTTTGCCATTGCACAGAGTTAGGCTTTTTGCATACAATTTTGCAAACTCATATTTTCCTTTTATATATTGTAGTTTGATTCTCGTCGTTTTCAGTCTATAAAAGCTTGGTAGCTGGTTTCTCCTCACTACTCATCAGCAGAGACAATGAGTAAAGTAGCCAAACAGGTTAGTCACATTTTCCTTTCTTGAATTTATTTCATCTTGTCAATATGAGAAAATGTTCACATAATGGATTTTTATGTTTGATAGGAGCTCGTTAAGGAACCGAAAATAGAGGAAATGGAGGATGAAAGGACAGAAGAACTAAAACAACATTCTCCTTTAATTTTTTGTATAGACTTGCATTGTATAGGATGTGCCAAGAAGATTGAGAGGACCATTTCAAAGATAAGAGGTTTTTATCCCACTCTAGTCACTTTGCTTGTAAAGTTCTAGTCCGTTTGCGTGCACCTTTGACTATTCCACTGTGTTTTTGCGTTTTTTTCTTCTGACGTTATTTTAGACAAGCATCAAATGTATATTCAAATGGAGCAGGGGTAGACAGAGTAATGATAGGTATGGAGCAAAACCAAGTGACAATAAGCGGAGTGATCGAACCACAAGCAGTGTGTGCCAGGATTGTTAAGAAAACAAAGAGAACAGCAAAAGTATTTTCGCCTTTGCCACAAGCTGAGGATGAACCTATTCCTGAAGTTGTTTCTTCACAGGCAATCTTTTTTTACTCGTACAATATAATTTTTCGCTGAAGAATATACATAAAGATCAGAAATGTAATTGTTTGATCCTTGTTTTTATACCTTTTCAGGTTAACAGATTGACGACAGTTGGGCTTATTGTTAACATGCATTGTGAAGCATGTGCCAAACAGCTTAAAAGAAAGATTCTAAAAATGAGCCTAACCATTTGAGTAGGCGGATTCAGAATTTTAAGTTAGTACATGTGAAATGTCACAATAAGTATAACTTTTGTGTCTACTAATAATCTTCTTCATGATTAATTTAGGGGTGAGAACCGCGGAAACAGATCTGACCTTAGGGAAAGTAATTGTAAAAGGAAGCATGGACGCCAACAAGCTCGTTGACTATTTATACAGACGAACTAAAAAGCAGGCCAAAATTGTCCTTCAACATGAACCCCGGAAGCATAAGGAAGAACCAAAGAGTGAAGATCCAAATCCAGATGAAGAAGCTAAGAAACTCGAAGAGGAAGACAAGAAAGAAGGTGGCGAAGACAGTAACATGGCATCAGAAGGAGAAGAAATCATCAATAAGATGATGTATTATTGCCAACCACTTTAAGTCATTGAAAAAATCCCACCTCCTCAGCTCTTCTCCGACGAAAATCCTAATGCATGTTGCATAACGTAACCAATAATAACAGGTGCGTGAAAGATCATTTTCATCTATTCAAATTGTAAGTGATCATAGGAGATCATTTTCTCGGAGTTTTGTGATATCTGTGGGATGAGACTCTCCTATTTTCTTATGCATTTTTATGTCAGCCAATGCAATTTCATCTTTCCCAATTTGATTCTACATATAAAACAGGGGTGCAAGCACCATAATGCCAGAGGAAAAGAACAAAATTTACATACTTTAAGTATCATTATTTTGCGAGTTCCATACCTGAATTATTAGGCGATTGTTTCCTACCTTTATTAAAAGTATAAGAGACGATGGAACTTTTGCAAAGGTAAATTATTGTACAAATCTCCTAACACATTATTTATTAGATAGCCTGCTCGATCGATCAGTAGCTTCGTTACAAAATCACACATATGGACAAATATAAAAATTCTTTATACTGTCGATGTATAATTTGATTAATTTCCTAACATATTTATTAGATGACCCGATGGAACGGTAACTGTGTGATAACCACACTTAGGTAGATACAAAAGTTATAAATAATTACTTCGAACTCATACAAGTACTAGGTTCCATCGTTCTTGAAAAGTTCTAAACAATATTCCTGGTCTAAATTCCTGCTCCAAAATTTGTCATAATATTCAGTATAAGTGAAATCTCGATAAATGGCTGAAGATCCATCTTCAATTAAGGTTTTTGGAGCACTGATAATGGAACAATCATTGGGACAGAGGAAAGAAGCCACAGACATCCTTGCTTTATCTGAATTTACAATAGCTCTATGCCATATACTTTTATACTTTCCATTACTCAATGCCTGCACGACAAATAATTATTTCATCTAAAAGTTTAAGCTGCTAGATATAATTTTATTTAATTAGTTGTATTTTCAAGACACCCACACCACCACCACGATGTGCAAGTTTGATATCATAGGTTAAGCATGTAAAAATTCTTTTTTAAATAATGAATAGTATATAGTGAAACTTGAAGAACCACCATGTTGAATTGTGTGTAACTTGTCATAAAAACTTAATTAACTAAGTTGTTAGAGATTATACATGTTTATTTACTTAAAAATGACATTTTTCAATATTGACCACGGCAATAGGTAATTAATTGTAATATGTCTCATATGAAAACATGAAAAATAGGGTAATTAATAACATGTTATTAAAGGTATATACGTTGCATTAGTGTAGATAACTTACATATTTTACTCCCTCTTCGTTTTTCATTTTTCAGAAGTTTATTTTATAAAAATTAAAATATTCAAAAACTATACGAAAAGTACAATATAGGTGTAAGTAGTGTCAATCAAAGTTTACTTATTTTGAATCTCGAAAAGCAAAATGTACCAGATAAATTGCGATAGATGGAATAGTTATGAAATAGAAGAGTCATGTTTTACCTCCAATTGATCACCAAGATTGATGACAAAGGCATCAGGTTGAGGTTTAATAGATAACCATTCTCCATCCTTAAGAACTTGAAGGCCAGCCACTTGCAAATCTTGAAGAAGAATTGTAATTGCATTTGGATCTGTATGGGCTGGTAACCCATAAGTTAGTTCAGGTTGTGGACATGGAGGATAAAAATTGATAGCCATATGTTGTCCTTGTTCACCCAACACATTTTTAATACAATCTTTCTCGAGCCCTAGGCTCTCTGATATTGCTTCTTCTAATCTATATCCAACTTGTCTAACTTCCATGCAATATTTGCTCACTATTTCCCTAAGCAATTGAAGAGCATAAATTAGATTCTTATTTCGATTTAATCGAGTTAAAAAATAATGAAACGTCATAACAATATGAATGATGAGGCGTTGATCAGACTCATATAGCACATAAAATACATATGTTGTAGGTAGAATTAATGTTCTCGCTTTTTACCCCTACAAACACAATCATTTTGGTTACGGATTCTAGAAAATTAATACTTTATTATTTAAGAAAAGAGTTTTAGCTTTTAAATAATAAATAAAAATATTTACAAGGATACTGTTTTTTTTTTTTTTACAAAAGAATAAAATAAAAATCAGACACCATAGTAGTTGTCTGCTAGTACCTAGCAACTGACAAAGGAATCAATCATTCATCACATGATTTTATCTTATGCTGGCTACCACCATCACATGGTTATATCTTATGCTTCGTCCACTTTTATTAGTTCATAAAAAAATATTTTATATTTTAAAATAATATATAATACTCATATGAATAATAGTATAGAATTTTTATTAATATATACACAAATAAATATGAATATTTAATTTAGTAAACAAGAAAAAGTGAACACTACTGCGTCATCAGCCTATGTCTTCCACGACGTCATGAAATATATAAAATTAACAGCTAAGCAGTAGGGACTAGGACAGACAGAAACTGATGCATCGACGATTAAAAAGGACTTGACTAAATAATACTTAGAATTTTTTTTTATTCTTGTGAGATAAGCAAATTAAAATCATAGAGATTTGGAATAATATGCTCCATAAAACATTAGTACGGCTTTAAATATTTTGATTAACTAGTTTACAAAATATATATTACATATATCAATTCATATATTTTATACTAACAAATTAATTGATTGAACGGTACAATTGGATAAAAAGTCCGATAGATAAATTTTTTTTAAAAAAGGTCGGCAGAGCCGGTGTAGAATTATGAATTGCAAAAAAATATTGGATAGATTTGAGTTGTTTTCTTTGTGAAGCAACATAAAATTTGACATAATCTAATTAATTAGTGTACCTAATTGCCGGTACAACACTTACTAATTAAACAGAAACAACTTAAACACGTAATTACAAATAATTTACCTAGATAGGTACATAAACAGTTTAGATACGTGACAATTAAAATTACGACTAGTTAGAAACAAGACAAAAAAAGGGAAAAAAGATAAATATACCCCGAATTATCGTAAATGGTATGCATATATCCTCCATCATACTTTTGGGACATTGATGCCTTTGCCGTCTAAAAACTAGAGCATATATACCCTTTATACTAACGAACATACCCGTGTCATAATCTTATCCACAGATCCGACATCTATTAAATATCGGATCGATGGATAAGATTGCGCCACGTGTCCGTATTTAGTCTTCCGTTAGAGTGAAGGGCATATATGCTCTAGTTTTTGGACGGCAAGGGCACCAATGCACCAAAAATATGACGGAGGGTATCTGCATACAATTCACGATAGTTTGAGAATATATTTGTCCTTTTTCCCAAAAAATAAAATTACGCCGTGACAAAGCAAAAAATAGACAAGTTAGAGATATGACTAAAAACTTGCAAAAAAACAACTTAGATACGGGATAAGTACGTTTCATGTAGAGTCATCATTTACAGAAAATGAATTTGGATTGATAAATAAACAGGAAATTAAATGAAAGAAAAAAATGATTTGACATGACATATGAATGAACTAATACTTAATTATAATGAAAATTCAAATTAATTACCTGAAAGAAGGAGGATTAGAAGGCCATTCAGGGGCATATTTGTCCAAAGGATAACAGTGTAGCCTAAGATAATCTCTCCAATTATGAACAGTTTCCTTCTTAACATTAAAACTAGTTGATAATCTCATAGTCTTTGATGGATCATCTGAGTACAATTTCATCTTTTCTTCCACTGGAAGCTTAAAAAATTCATGAGCTACCCCCAACATTTCATCCATAACCTTCTTTGATACACCGTGATTTATCACCTGATAAAAAATAATCCAAAATGACTATTCGTTAATCTATTACAATTCTTTTGAACTGCGTGTAAAAAGTACTAGCTATATATAATTGAAAAAATGTGATCAAAGAAACCTCCAAATAGTAATGTTGCTATATGAATTGAAACGGAAATAGTACAACAATAACAACATATCTGAAAGAATTGAATGTACGAAAAAAAGGAACCTGGAAAAACCCATAAAGGCGACAAGCTTCGCCAATTTGATGAACGATAACGTTCCTATCAGTACAAGACATATCGATAACTGGAACAAGATCATCACGATCAACAACTTCAGACATGCGGGGTCTTTGGGATTCAGGTCGAACGTAAGATTCAGGGAGGGTTGAGTGGTTGAATCCACCGGAAAGAACACTTGTTGTTTCCATTATGTTTAAGAACACAAAAATAGAGATGTAATGCAAGAACTAGAATATTAATATTGCTCGATCGAAATGTACAAGTAGTTTCATTGAAGCTCAAACTAGCTGATATATATATAATAATATCAAAACACATACTAGTATATTTTAATTATTGTGGGCTTGGTTTTTTTTCACGTGAACCAAATCACGATAATTTTAATTAGTGCTTGTAGAAATTAATGGGTTCACATTTTACCGACTTGATTAAATTATTACTTATGGGCAAGTAAAATAAACGTGACGCGTAAAATATACGTGAGACTACCAACGTGTTTCGGACGTAATTTGGGGCTTAACACATAATTAAAGCCGGACTTGGCTCCACTCCATTTCTTTTAGTGGTGGGTAAAATTCTTTACACGTGTCGATCGCGTTAAAAATTGAACTCTTATTGACAGTAACGTTTTTAGTTTCAAATAGAATGACCTTCTTTCCTTTTTAATTTGTTTTAAAAAATGACCTTCTTTCCTTTTTAATTTGTTTTCAAAAATGACCTCTTTCTTTTTTTGGTAACATTTTAATTTCAGTTTTCTACGTGGCATGTTTAAGGCAACAAGGTTAAAGGGCAATTTAGTACATTTGACATAATTTTAATTTAGAATCACAAGATTTAAATTTAATTTTATTTTTTTAAATTTCGTGTCAAGTTAAACTAGATCACTCTTTTTGAAACAGGGATAGTTGAATTTGATGGAATTTAACAATAGATATTCATGAGTTAATAAGTCAACAGTTAAGAAAAGAAATTGACTGAAGTCTCCGCAGCTGATAAAACAGTGCACCTTCCACTAGGCAACTTTAGCTACCTGTTTTTTTTCTCCATATAAGCCAATATTAGAGCATCGATTAAGTTTGGATCGTGCATTGTAAAATCTACTTGGGGTGACTGCGCTCTCAACAAGAGTTCGAGACCTGTGATTAAGGGTGGAACAATCTCACTACTGCACCACAACACATGTTAGTACCTATAATTGGGTTGATGATGTGCAAATAGTGAAAGAGTTATTTGTTTCAATATGGTTAAAACGAAATTTAAAAAATTAAATAAAATTTTAGTT